AGAGAGAGAGAGAGAGAGAGAGAGAGAGAGAGAGAGAGAGAGAGAGAGAGACAGAGACAGAGAAAAAGTCAATTTTAAATTTATCAGACAATTTCTTGTGAAAAGTGAAATCAGAAGTGTTGTTAGAAAGTCTTATATAAATAGATATTATTCGAGGACGGACACATAGCCTTCTCTCATTTTTCAATACTCATTTTCAAATACATCTGTGATCAAAAAGAGAATTAAAAATTGTTCTTGTAACATCGATATTGGAAAAACTACGGACAAGGAAAAGTCGTCAAACATGAAAAAATTGGGTGAACATCTGACGCAGGGTGGGATAACTTTTTTTTAATAGAAAAGTAGTTTCAAACGACCCTCGGCTAATTCATTTCTCGTTTGAGAACATTTACGTGAATTCTGTTTTCTATATATATAAATATATGTATATATATAATAGCATTTTGTTAATGTATTAATAATTTATAAAAAATAGATCAATGATGTAATTGTAAAATTTATTAACATGTAATTTCGAAAATATTACCAATTAATTTGACGTAATATTTTAAAAAGACTATTTCATAAAATGATCAAAAGTTTATATTATTGCTAGTTTGAAAAAAGATTCGTAATGGCTGTAGTAGCAATTAGTATAAAAATGTCTTTTTGGAAAGTTTTTACAAATTGTATACAAAAAAAAACGAAGAAATCTTTAAATCTGTTCTTTTAGCTCTTTTAAATCGCTTTCATGAATATAAAAACATAATGTTATTTTTCTTAAACTTAAATTATAAAGAACTAGGTAAATTAAGTTAGGAAAATAAAGTATATGCACGTAAAATAAGAAAAATACATATGTATATTAGGATGTTCTTTAATTCTATATACTGATTTTACGGTTTAGAAATGAGTAATTAAAAGAAAGTTTATTTCGTTACTTTATTTCAAGAAATTCGTAAATGCTGATGAAACTAATATATTATAAAAATTAAAACCGTATAATCTTTTTACATTGAGCATAAAACTTTGATTAAAAATGCACTCTTGTATGTCTTATACTTCTTTTAATAAAAATTCTCATTACTTAAAAAAAAAGAGAAGCATTTTACGCTTACGAGTACATAATAAAATAATGAGATATTAAATCTGTTACTTTTGAAGTAGGAAAGCTAATTCCCTGGAATTACAATTAATTTAAAAAATAAGTTTTTAAAAAAGATTTTAAGAATAAATACGTGTGAGTAATTTGCAAAATTAAATTTTCAAAAATATGTCAATCTTACTTTTATTTTTCAATATTAATGTTTATATCAAAATAATTCTTAAAAATTGATATAATTATTCGATAATTTTGCTATTGTTACAATAGCGATTAATTTTACTATTAACAATAATAAAATAATTAACGATAGGAAGTTACATAACAATAAATATAATATAATTTATTTTTCTGTCGCGTAAAATGGAAGGATATCTCGATATGTGGAAATATAATATATATAGGTTCTTTATTTCAAAGCATGAAGTAGAAAACTTTAGAAAGCATTATGAACGAATGCAACTTTAATATGTGTGATATATTATGTACGTACATATTAACCTCAAATCATAGAACAAGATAAATAGAACACAGATAGAATTTACGTTACACGCAATGTATGTAATTTTCTTCATTTCGCGGTTTCTCGCTTTTACAGAGATTCTCTGAAATCTTTTGGAAAATACTAAAGAGAACTTTTTCTATTGTTCCTTCATCACATCGAAACTCGTATTTTCGTCATCTGAAAAAAGAAATTTCGCCGTCGCCGATTACGAATCTGATTATCGACTCCCTGTGTATATGTTCTTTAGAAAGAACGGATATTCACTCGAAAAAGACTTGTCGATGTTCTATAATTACGAACACGTTTGTAAAAATGTTATTAAGGAGAAATAAAAAGATGAAATAATTTTTACAATTGCTAAAGAAAAAGCGTAATTATTTTAATTAGACTTATAAAAATCATAAATATTAGTCATATAAATTGTATAGATTTAATTGTATAGCAGTTTATTGTTTCTTATTTTAAAAATATAATAATTTAAAAAATTAAGTTTCTCGGAAAACAAAAAAAATTATTTTTCAATTCAACAGAAAATTCACTACTAATCAAATAATATCGACAAAAATATATTCGTAACATAATATTAAATGTCATTTTTGTTATTTTCGTTTTGTAACTCTAAAGAATCACCTTTATTAAATTGTGATTTTTGACTTTTTTTAACACTTACTCTTTATAAATTGTGACGTTTTGATGATATCTTTTATAAAGTTAAATTAGTTTACTTTTGATAATTAATAGAATAATGTTTAATTATGGTAATATTAGTAACTCATAAGGTAATAACTAGAAAATCAGGTTTTTTTTAGTTGTGTCATTTATTAAGTAATTAAGATATATGGACACATGTGTGTCTATATGTGTGTAGATATAGTAGATATATATAGAGTTATTTCAAAACTAAAATTATATCATAATCTGTCTTCGGTGTAATATACGATTACCTAAAATAATCACGTCTCGTCAAAAATGTTATGTTTCTACAAAATGACTTTATACTGAGATTTCACGTGCTAAGACTGATGGTCCTATAAAAACATGTTATAGATATGGTTTATGAGAACATTTACGGAATTCAAAATACACATACACAAGAGCATACAAAATACTAATAAAATATCTGTTAGTTATACCTTTTAAAAAAGATTACCCAGATAAGCTCTTTTTATAGGATAAAAAAATAATTTTGGCATTACACACAGTAATTTTTTTTCATATTAAATGTTCAGTACTTAATTATTGAACTAAAATTAATTAAACTGAGAATGGTCTTATCGCTCGTGAAATAAATTAGTAGATTCCATATTTTTCATCCGTACTTCCTTAACCCCTTTCTTTCAGAAAAAAAGAACATTTCGTATATAATAAACGATCCCTTCTATCTTAGTAGATTCTCACAAGAATATCAAATAGCAGGCTCGTTTGCTTATCTCCTTGCGTGGTTCGCCATGCAAATAAAACGGCTCACCAATTTCGTATCAAAGAGACATAGAAGATGCTGGTAGAAACTTATTACTTTTTACTGTCGTGAAATATTGACGCAGTCATCTTTTCGTTATTATCGTCTACGAAAGTACTCGTATACGTCAAAGAAAAAAGGAAACTTCATATCTTAAAGCAGATATATTGTGGTTTGTCCGGACCTAATAATTTTCTTTATATCTAACGAATTGTCGAAGGAATAATGGATGATCATAAAATCATATGCCAGACGTTGAAGTATAACTTCATACGAAGCCGCGTGTATATATGTGTAAAGAATCTTATATAAATATTTAACTAAAAAAATTTTTTTGAACTCCTTTAAAGCGAATCTCGACACAATACAGCAGACATTTTAAATTTTAAATGAGACGAGAACGATTATTTTTATCACTTGATTTTAAATCATGTGATTTTTTCAGGCATTTGATTAAAAAGTAGTATTTTTCATAAAGATTGTTATTCAATGATTTACAATTGCTAACTAAATAATATCATATTTGATCAGAATGACATTTTACATTTGTCTCATTTTTCTATATGTGATTTATACCTTACCGAATACTATGACGAAGGTCATTTTTACGGTCTTGATTTTCGCCTTGGGAATGAGACCCCTTGAGGACGCTCTCCGAGTATCTCTGGTAGGTCCTTGACGTAGCGCTGCTCCTTGCGACCATATCGTGACTACGATGACCGTATAACAACCTCCTATTATCAGGGTGGGCGCTATAAAGAGGCTAAAACTTACTAGGCTCATGTAGATCTTCCATTGTGTCGGATCTAAATCGATCCAGCACTGCGGCGTATCCTAAAAAGGATTGTTTGCAATTATGCTCGTCTTGTGAGCAAAAAAATCTAAGCTTTCAAATTCTTATCATTAAGTGAGCTTTCCAAAAAAATGAGGAAATGGTCGTGTATAATATATTGACAGTTATCTAATAAAATATACATAATTTTCTTTAAAGAGTCTTGATGATATGCAGTTTTCAAAAGTATAAGAGTGTGTATTATAAGTAAATCAAAGACACTTTTTTTTTTAACAAAAATTTAAGGAAATTTTTTAAATTAATTTGATATCTATTAAACAAGGAAAGAGAAGTGTTCTTCTCCTATTTTGATGAGCTTTTAATTTGCATTTTTAGGGGATAAAATATCTAATTATAATAATTAATGTTTTAAAATGAATTTTTAATTAATAATATGCTTATTTTAAAACATTTTTCAACTTTTATTAAAAATTTTTGTTCATCTTTTATAATTTCGATGATATTTACTTGAAAAGAAACTAACAATTTTCTTCAAAGAGATGTTTCACCCTCTAAAAGTATTAAAAAAATATACATTTCTTATTTTTTGGTCTAGACAACAACTATTAAAAGCTTATTAAAATTGGAGATACTTCCCTGTGTTTCCTTGTAAAAAGTTCGCGTATACCTGTATTTGTTTCTCTTCGTACAGGAATACGATCGGCATGCTGAATAATGCTGATAATGTCCAAGCCGTAATCACCAAAGCTCGGGCTCTCCACCCTGCAATCAAAATTAATGTCTATCAATTAACAGATATTTCCAATTTTGTAATTAATAAATAATAGACATTACATGTGTTTTGTGCTCAACGGGTATTAAAAACGTAACGTGGGATTCTTATTTTTAATTTGTTTTTTGACATAAAACAATTTCTTTTGCGGAAAATTGATGCAAGCGTTTACAACTCTCTGTATGCGGTATATGAAAGAAGCATAGCTATTTTCGTGAATGTCGAGTTTTACGTCAACCAGCGATTCGGAAAAACAAAAAGGAAAAGTTCGTCATAGCGAACGGTGCTCATGACGGGTGGCGGAACCAGTTTGAAAAATCGAGACAAAAGTGTCTGGTACTACTGTAATAAGTTTGAAACCTAAAATAGCGGTATAGCATGATATGATATGATTCTACATTATTTATTTAGTTTTCTGGTAACGCAAAGAATGATCGACTGCATGTCGATGTTTTATTATATATTATGACATGTTATTGTTATCTTCATGAGCATCATTTATCTGTTTTATTTTCAACAATTCATAATTAGTAACATCAGCAATTTTCTTGGCTTGAAACTAACATGAATACATGTCATGTATTATTGATATATATACATTAATCCTGCTACTATATAATTACGATGTACACAATTGATTACGAATTGTCGATAATTGGAAGAATATCAGAATGATTGTGTGCGTATAGAAATTCATAGTATGATCGGTAGATCTGGAATTAAAGCAAAATTGAATTCTTGTAATATTGTAGTTTTGCGCTCATGTTCTCTCATGTCTCTTCGACAATATATAGATAGTTTTAGACACTTTAATCTCTGCTTAATGACATTGAGATATAACAAGCGTATAAGTTATTAGGCATCATTTCTCTCTCTCAACGGACTAAATCTACTGCTATTTATTTTAAAACCAAATCGTAATTAAAATTTTCACGGATTAGTATAGAACGCACAGAAAACACAGTTTTGCTAAAATGTTAAAAAATTTAGCTAAATACAAAGCTGAAAATAATTTTGTTAAACCATTAAAATAATTATTTAGGACAGTGAAGCTGATTGCTAGTCAAAACTTTTTGCAGTATTATTTATTATGCTTAAGCGTCTTTTTTATAATTATTTCTGTATCTAGCTAAATTTTTAGACACTTCAGCAAAATTGTCCTTTCAATGTGTATTTAAAATAAATATTCAGAATAATCCTTACTCGTATATACATTTCAATTGTTAAATATTATTTAATATTTTAAATATTATTACTTTTTATTATTATAAACGTTAAATATTTTTAATAAGCATAAATACATTAGTATCATGTCTTTATATTGTAGAATGATTTGAATTTTTTTCTAAACAATCTTTGGATCTGTTTTAATTTACAACCGTCCTTATGATATTGAAGATTAGGCTCTAATGGTAAAAATACTTTTGTATTAAAATCATCGATGATGAAGTATCGTGCAACAGTCCAACATGATTAGTAGTCTAGATTCAGACACACTTACCAATTTCTGTAATTCTACATAGCTATCGACTACGAGCTATGAGAACATCGCATATAGAAGGTAGAAGATAAATTTTATTCTGGTGCGGAATACCCGCCAACGATTCGTGAGATGCCTCTGTGTGATAGACGATACGACCAAGCAGAAAGATAAGAAAAGCTATCTTCTTTTTTCATCCTTTATCTTGTCACAAAAAGACGCTAATAAAAAAAGAAAAGGGGAAAAAACATGCGCGATTCACAAAGTACGCGATATTAATTCTGAAAGGGACTACAGCGGAGATATTATGTCACAGATCATGAAATAATCTGGCCGTCAATATTGATAGCGCCGCTACCGCTATCATGGAGCTAGAATATTTCCAAAGAAAATCTCCGATAGATTGATTTTTATTACTTTTTACTTAGCAACTTTATCGTAAGTTCCCTGAGCAAAGATAGGCGCATAGCATATATCTGGTATACGGAAGTCAAAGCAATTTTTTGACGGTAAATACGAATAGAATAGAAGAATCCGAAGGATGTCAAAGTTATAAAAGGCGAAGATGGGCACCCATATCGTACGGTGAATTGCATTCAATGTGTCGGCTGGCTGACAGAAACCAGTAAATAGTCTTTGACTTGCTGTAAGCAACTCTTGAAATCGCATATTGACATGTGAAATAACTTTGCTATCATACAGTTGTGATTATATCGACGTGAAAATAGTGATCGACTATTTCGTTTTTTCGTAATGATAATTATTAGAGATTTATATTTTTGTTTATAACATCGTACTTTTTATAAGATTATTTTTTTTGCATTTACTTCAAAATTTATTTTTTATTGATTTAATATTCACGATTTTACTGATGTATCTCAAAATTTATACATATACAGATTTGAGATAATAATTTTGTTAGACTATCAAAATAATTACGTAGGACATTCAAAGTTGCTAAAATGTAAAAATTTGATAAAATATTTTGTAAAGCTATCATATGCTTGAAATTTCTAAATTTCTAATAATTTTTTAATAGTTTAACTAATTTAACAGAATTATTTTTACAGTTTTATCGGGTTTGTAAGATTTTTAAGAATGTCTTATTTTATAAAATCTTTTCTATATAATTTATACAGTTCTGTAATAATAATTTAATGTATTAAGCTATTAAGAATCCTTTTCTCTTCCTCTTTACTTATTTCAATTAATGATTCCGCATGCAAAAACAGTCTTTTGACTTCGAGGTTGAACATCATTCATGCCTTAAGAGAATCTTGCTATATATTCTACTGAATTTCAACTAAACTATATTAATGAGTTTAGCTCGAAGTACCGCTTTGTAGAAGGATCCAACATTAAAGGCTATGATCATAATATGCGCGTTAATGTACTCACAGCTGCCGGAGAAGTTCATCGGACGGGTAATGGCGTCATATCTGTCGATTGATAGAGCCACGAGGACGTAGGTCGAGCTGTAGGTTACTACGGCCTGCATAAACCTTATCAGTTTGCAAGCTATATTGCCCGCATACCATGCAACAGTCGTTCTCCAGATTATATCCGTTAACACGGATATTAGGCCGACCAGTAAATCTGCAACAAGGTATACGACGATTAAATGTGATACACTGTTTGCAAATGGATACATATCTATTAATCAAGATTATCAATCAATAAAGCTTCTCTGTTCTCAATATTTTACAGTGCCTAGACTCAGAGTATCCTAAAAGACACACACAATACTTATCAATATTTTAAAAAATCTCTTCGTTCGGCATTAGAAAGTTAATAGATCTATTTTGTGCATTTTACACTTTTCCTTCATTATTACAAGAATTAACCATTAAATTCACGTAAACTCGCTAAAAATAATTTTCATTACCTCTGGAAATGCAAATCTTAAAATTATAACAAACTTTATATACCTGACCGTTACATGAATTTTGAAGTTTAATGTCGGATATTAAGCGTGAGATTTTTTTGCAACCATGAAGACGTCGTACAACTCTTAATTAACTCGTGAAGACGTTTATGGAATAACACCTTTACCCAAGAAATAAACTTCCAGATACGTGATCGGTTTATAGTTCGTTTCGATATTTTACGTCACGTTGCTCTGCTTTTATGCACGAGTAAAAACTATTAATACGGAACATAAAATGAGATCGAACGTTACGTAATAATGCATTGGTAATTTCGGCATTTCTGTACTGCAACATTTGTATCATAAACGTCACAAAAATAAGAAATTATTTCCAAACAATGTACAATTTTTTTATAAATATGCCGTGTTCTGTAATATTTTATATCGCAGATTTTTAAGGGTTATCTGAGTAAAGTATAAGAACGTATAAGTAAAAAAATAAGTACAGCCTCTTGATCATAAATATAAAGCATAACCTATAAATTGTTTTATGTTCAACAAAAAATAAATTTAAGACAGTTTTGTTAAAAAAAAGTTATTCTTTATAACGATTTTTAATTTTAGTTTTCCTTTTTTTAGTTCATATTTTTATATCAGTTAAAAAATTTTTAGTTCTATTTTAATTTTTATTATTGCCTTTTCCAAAATTAATAAATTGAGAGTGTTTTATACTTATAGCCAACATATATATAGGGCATTCCATCCCAAGTGTGCTACTCGAAAATTTTTGGATTTTTGATTTGACTGAAATTTTGATATATTATAGTACACATCGCAGAGCAGCTCTGTGAAGTTGGCACCCCTAAATGCGAATTTTGATTAAATCATTATTGCATTCGTTTGTCCACCCGTTATTTTCATTTGTCCACCCTCCAAAAAAAGTTATACACAAAAAAATTGTAGTATCCCCAAGTGACTATTTTTCATTATTAATAAAAATAGTATGGACAAACGAAAATAATGGGTGGACAAACGTGGACAAACAATGGACAAACGAATGCAATAATAATTTTACTAAAATTCGCATTTAGGGGTTCCGACTTCACAGAGCAGCTCTGTGAGGTTGGCAAACCTAAATGCGAATTTTGATAAAATCATTATTGCATTCGTTTGTCCACTGTTTGTTCACGTTTGTCCACTCGTTATTTTCATTTGTCCATCCTCCAAAAGAAAGTTATATACAAAAAAAAATTGTAGCACCTCCAAGTGATTATTTTTCATAATTATGTACGGAAATCGTTTGTCCACAACGCGCACGTGATTGTCCACCCAATATTTTCGTTTGTCCCCCTACAAAAAAATTTATACATAAAAAAAATTGTAGCCCCTCAAGTGATTATTTTTCATTATTATGAAAAATATAATAAAAATAGGGTGGACAAGCGAAAATACGATTAAAATACATTTATAATTAAATACTGCAATAAAATTATTCTCTTTATCGTAGATACTGAAAGAATAATGATTAGCAATGTTTGAAATACAACGCAAAATAAAAATTTAACATATCGTGAAAACTTTTACTAAAGAAAAACAAATCCTAAATATATACCCGTAAAAGATTTCTGTAAAAGATTTCAAATTTTTTTATTTCTATAAATTCATCATTAGAGTAACACTGTTATATTATTATAAATTAAGAATACTTTTAATCACGCCCGAATCTTCTTATTGAGATTCTTATTATATCTATTTGCTCCACACAATTAATTTCTTGTAAAAATAAAGATGAAGATGGGAAAAGAACATGGAATTGTAATTTTTCTGTCCATTAGCAAAGTTGTACCGTTTCTTCGATAACTTAGTTTACAAATGTAATAAGACTACAAATAAAAAAACCGATGATAAAGTTTACGCATTGATTACTAATCAATAGCAATTTGTTTCACACTTAAAAACAGTTTAGAAATAAGATTTCATTTACAGATTAGAAATCTATATCTTTTAAAAATTTATTTTAAAATAATTATATTTTTGGAAATAAAACTTTATTAAACCAAAATTTAATTTTTTGTGTAAGAGGCTAAAAAATTCTCGTGATAAAAATAGCTTCTATATAAATATTATTAATTATATATTATTAAAATAATAGGAATACTCGTATGTGTGTGTGTATAATATTATTTGTTATAATACACATACACGAAGTGTGTCTAAAAATTATCAAATGAAAATTCTATATTCTTAAAATATTAGGTGTACAAATTAGTTCGGTCCGAAAATATATTTTTTGTTATATTATATTATAAAAACAAACTATTTAGATACATATACATATATATTTATATACTAATTTTTATAAATTTTAAAATAAAAGCCAATTTATTGCTAATTAACTACTTCATTAACTAATATAATTTTCAATATTTTTATAAATGTGTCATCTACTTTAAAATGTGTACTTTTTTTATATTTTCTATGATATGTTTATTTTAAGCTATAACATAAAAGATTTTTTTTTTCGTTTATCTCTCTAGACATTAACTTAAATACATTGCTTTTAGTATCGTAAGTTATTACACGAATAATATAAGAAAGATAGACAGCATTAGTTGTCATATAATACTAACAATAAAATATTTTGTGGAAACGTGACAAGAATAATGTTCTGCATGTGACACACGGATTTGTGTGTGTATGTGTGGGTGTATGTGTGGGTGTATGTGTATGTATGTTTCTATATATGGTATGTATACTTATTTGAAAAAAAGATACTTAAAATTATAAAAATTAATTTTTGTTGCATATACTGAAATTAAAAGGCAAAATTTAAACTGCAGTTAACAAAAACCGTAAAAAGATTATCCATTTCTTTTATTTTATCATTGGATGCTTTCTGGGATAAGTTCAAATTTATTATACTAATTTCTTGCAGAAATATCAATAAGCCCTTGCTTATCAGTTTATTTTTGTTATTTATGATAAGAATATAAGTCATGTTTATAAATCGTTTACGAGTTTATATTAATATTAGAAACTATTTGATATATCTAATCAATCACAAGTATAACAATATTGTATAGAAAATATATTTCTATTAATACAATCTCATTTTAAGTAAAAGTATACTTATATATATTCAGAATCAATATATACGTATGTAGTCAGTATTGAGATGAAAATCTATACACACACGCGATATTGTTGGGGTTTCTGGTATTCTATACGTAAAGATATGTAAGCGAGAAGAAGAGAAGGAATGTTTGTCTATAAACGTATACATGAAATAGGATAGGATATATACTATCGCGTATTCTCTAAAGCCTAAATTAAATATTAGGAGCGAAGGTTTTGGAAGCAAACGTAACAGTAATCTCTATCCACAATTCTCGTTCAAGCAAATGTTGACAATGCGGAAATAAAACAAAGTTATGATCGTGGTACTCTTTTTGTTTAAACCGTTTTATTATCATCTATATAGCTCTATTGATTGCACAATATTACTTCTATAAATTGTTGATACACATAATGGAATTCATTGTCATAGTTTGAAACTGATCTAGAGAGCTTCATAAAAGATATAAAATTTTCTTAAATTACATTAAAAAATTTAGTTTGTAGCACTTATTTGTAACACTTACCGGCAAAAGCCAATTGCATGATGAAGAAATTCATTCGAGATTTTCTACGTTTTCCCAGCAGAAGTCCGGCGAGAACTGCAGTATTACCGGCAACTATCACTGCAAATAGTAGCCATAGTACCGCAAATTGCTCCGTCTATAAGAAGAAAAGCAATTCTCTCACTTCCGTGAAATTAGAGGTTTTATTTCTAATTGGTTAATATAAGAGAGAGAGAGAGAGAGAGAGAGAGAGAGAGAGTAGAGAGAGAGAGAGAGAGAGAGAGAGAGAGAGAGAGAGAGAGAAAGAGAGAGAAATCTGGCTCTCTCCTCAAAATATTTAGAGTATCTAAAACTCTGCAATCGTATCTGTCCTTATATTATTGAGCCTGTTAAACAGAGAGTATATAGAAATATATATATAATTTAAAATTATACAGAATCCAGAATTTTATGAAAACGCAATTTTTTATGCAAAAGTATTGTTTTGCAGCAAATATCTTACAATTAAATGGTGAATAAAGGAAATCTTTTTATTGATGTTTTGAGAAAAAGAAGGAGGTGCTGTATGACTATTTCATTTTTACTGAAATTCTACTATTTTATGATTCTATATTTCTCAGGTACATGCATCTCTTTTTTTTTTCTTATTCGCTGCACTTGTATATCTGTGAATAGAACTAATATGATTTGAAAAAAGTATAAGAAGATATGTAAGAAACGACGAATGTAAGAAAAAAGAATAAATGCGAGGTATATTACAGCGAATAAGCAAAAAGTAAGAAATTCAACGTGAACTTGCAAAGCATAAAATTATAAAATTATAGATCAATTTCGGTGGAAAAGAGCGATGGTATAATACTCCCCTCCCCCCTCTTTCTCTCTCTCTCTCTCTCTCTCTCTCTCTTAAATATTAATAAACAAACTTCATTTATTTATGGTTACTGTTTAATTATTAGAATATGCCTTGTGACAATTGAATAAGCAGCGTGCGCACCACAAGTATATGAGAGAGATGTAACATAGGTCAGAAACCTAACGTAAGAAGAAGAAGAAAAATTAGAATATTTGCTGCAAAACGAGATTTTTGTATAAAAAAATTTTATTCTCATAAAATGCTCCAGATTTTGCATAATTTTAAACTTAATATTTAAGTTCAATAATACAAAAATAAACCCATTTTAAATGTTTCCTTCACAAGCAAATTAGGCTCTATTTTATTATCCTTCATTACATGCATATACGACTGTACATGCATTATGATTGTATTTTGACGTGACGAAATGTTATTTATTGATTTGCATGATCCGAGTGAACAGTTGATGTGATGGTTAGTTTACTAGATGATGTGGTCTCGTATATCGTTTCGCACGCTATGTGACGAGAGAAACATGTGAGTGTTAATTTCAACATCGTTTGCATGATGCACGCTATGCTTAATACGAATAGCAAACTGATTTGCTCGATCATAAATGCGGCTAATATAATACTCGACGTGATTTTCCGAAAATGGACAACTAGCGTATATTTCTATACAAGTTTTTAATGTGATTTAACATTTACATACTTTATTTTCATAATTATAATAATCAGTTGCAATATATAAGTTTCAAATATTTGTAGATATCTAAATTGTTTCTATTAAAATGTTGATCAATTTTTACTTTTCCAAATCTATTGATTAAAATTATTTTAAAATCAAATATAATAAATATATTTAAAATCAAATATATTTTATAGCAAAATATTAAGGTATCACATGTCAAAATAATTACACTTTTAATATTCTAATATTTGTCTAAAATATTAATAACCTTACAACATCCTAGTATCTATTTATTATTAATAGAATATTCATAATAATACAATACATTTATAAATATTAATATTTTATTAATACTCTATTAATATTTTGTTAAATAATAGAATAATTCTTTAATAATATTTCATTATGCTATTGCTACATTAAAAAAAATACAAGTAATAAAAATAAATGTGACTAAATTATATATAGTATATGAGTTTCTTTTAAAATAATATCAATATTAATACAGATTCCACATTTTGAATAAAACTTACGACTATAAAACATTTCCATTAATTAACAGTAATTGAATTAAAGGATTCTTAATATTAAATAATATTTCAAAGAATAAAACGGACATAAAAGAGTTAATTACAAAATTCTTAATATATAAAATAAGTAAGAATTATATTATGATTAATGAAATAAATGTAGACGATAGTCATATTATATTAATCATTACATTACATTACATTATACATTATGTTTCGATTTTTAAGATTTTTTAAGACATCTTTATATACAATACGTTATTAATGTTATGGTTTATTTGTTTTCTTTTACGTCAATATTACTGGGTCTATCTAAAGATGATTCAATCTTGAAGCCAAAACACATGTAATGTAATATGATGGTAATGTAATATGATTGACTTTATTGTCTACATTTAATTTACTGATTGTCTATCTATTTATATCAGCCCAATTTCATCCACTGTTGGATATCGGTCTCTTCTAAACTTTCCATTCTACATGGTCTTTGGAAGGAAAGAGTTTGGCATTAAAACGCCACGTTTGCCATGCCTGTTGGTGAGTGTACATATATCCAACTGATGGATAGCGATCTATAGTTTTTAACATCGAATGGCGATGGCAAAAATACTCTGAAAGATTTGTCATTGCCTTTCAAAAAGTGGCAAACCGTAATAGATCAGACACTAAAAATACATTTTTTCTGCACCTACAAATTTTGCCTATAAATTATTTTATGGGCAAAATTTATAGGCGCAGAAAATAAATAAAAATTTATTTTCAGTATCTGGCCTATCATGGTTTGTGTCTTTTGATTCAAGAGAATTTATCAGCATTGACATTTCTTTCCTAATGGATGTATGAATTACTTTGATGTCTACTCATGGGATGAGAAAATATTGCTGAATCGACGAAAATCGTGGACCACAAAACTCGTATCCTATTGGTCTCTCCCTCTGTTTTTTCTCCATACTCAGCACTAAATCTATATTTCTATTCCGCAAACTGTGAAAGAGAATTATATACGACGGCCGATTTAGGTCAACAGATCTTACTAGAAATTATCAAATATGTCATGATACCGACACAAGCGCCCACAAGCTCATTTGCGTAGATTGTTATTCAATTGCAGTAACTAATCCTTAATTCAATAACAATCTTTACGAATTCAATCTATTATGTGGTGCAAGAAATAGCACGTTTTTAAAATACTTTGAAAAATAATACTGTATTAATATATAACAGACAGAAAGATAACAATTTTGTACAAATTATTGGTAAACATTGTTAATTAAATACTTTATGATGTTTAAATTTTTACAATATATCTATATACATATCTCTAATATTTATATTTTATAATATTACATAATTAAAATTAATCAGTAAAATAATGTTTTAATTAAATTTTCATCTTTTCTTTAAATTAAACTTACGACGCACGATGTTTGTTTTTCTGCTGGATTGCTTACATTCTGGTAAATTATTAGAAATTCTGCGCTTTGTGTAATTCTATTATATTAATTTACTGAAACGTAAACAATTTAGCAGAAAAACAAATACCGTATACCACAGGTTTTATTTATAGATAAATATTATTCTTTTATTTTTTTTTTACTGAGCTTAACAATGATTTTATTAAATGACAAGGGAAGAGTATAGATGAATAAAAAGTCAATAACGTTTTACAATAAAATTGACGTAATAGAAGAGAATATATATAAGTAAAAATAGTTTTTATAACATAATAGGAAACATTGTTCGTGTTTTATTAAAAATATTTTCCGTTGCAAATAATAGCCTTCGAAGTGACTTCAAAACCTCGATTATTTCAAAACATTTCTATATTCTTCATATTAGTATCGAATTTATTAAAATGTTTGACGTATTGTATAATGGGAGAATATAGAAAAATATAACAATTTTTTCAGAGTAATTTAATGCACACTGATGTTATTATATATGTATGTACTTCATGTGTACTATTATTTGTAAATTATCGATATTTCGCAACATCACGTCGGTTCGGTTCTATTCATTGCAGTGCCAATAATCGGCAGAAAATGGTACAATGTCTAGAATATCATGTACGTCGCGGATCGCGATTCTCTGTTTATGTCCGATCTCTGCATCACTTTCCTATTCCGAATAGCAATTACTCATGTCACCCGCAAGCTCAATATCGATCGTCTTCTAAAGCGTGATTTACACGGGGCGACTTTTATTCGCTAGAAGCCGCGTCTAGTGACGTCATTAATTCGCCACAGAATTTTCTCGACTCTACTGCTATTCTTCAGCTTTTTAATTCGTCAGCGAATTCGCTGATGAAAGCTTCTACACGTTTGGTTTTTATTTGTTAGCGACTAAAATTTTGAAGTCGCAGCGTCGCATTGAGTGGAAAAATTTGTCTTTTCACGACAACTTAAAAATTCGCTCTGAAAGAGCAGCAAGAAGCTAACGACAATGCGTCGAAAGCGGTATTCGCCGCGATTATATACGCTAATAAGAACAAACCCGTGTCCAGAAGAAGTTTTTAGTAACGAATTCGCTATGACGTCACTAGAAGCGGCTTCTAGCGAATAAAAGTCGCCTCGTATAAATTACGCTTGATAAAGTTGATTCCTGAGTTTGTCGGGCGCGAGATTCGTATGCAAAGTTTCGTATCGCAACCGTGACCTATGTGTGGTTACACTTCTGTCATTATCTATGATACAATATTACCACATTACTAAACTGGAAAAGTAAAATGTATAAGAGAATAATTCTTAGCCGAGTGAGATATAAATAATCCACATTAAATGTGTAAATCTGATAATTATGTAGTTGAATTAAAGAATCATAAGAGAGTCACATTAAAAATTGAATGATTGCTTTAACTAATCATTTAACTCTGAATAATTTTAATTACTTTTACATTTATTTATTTTGTAATGTGGAACTAAAGCTTTAACTTCCTTTAAAATCTTAAAATCCCTTTTCCGAAATTTCTTTTCTATACGATTATACACAGCTTTACAAATAATTAAAACTGTTGTATTAAAATGTGTACTTATATTAGATATAAACTACATTATTCTAATTACAATATTAAGACAGAAAAATTTGATTAACTTGGATTATTTATACATTATCAGAATTTTTAATGAAAAATACGCGA